AAGTTTATGACGACATTAGATCTACAATGCGGATACTTCCAAATAGCAGTTGCAGAAAAAGATAGGGACAAAACGTGTCTCATAACACCGTTTGGCACATATAGATTCAAGAGAATGCCTTTCGGACTTCGAAACGCCCCCGCAACCTTTCAACGACTAATAGATCGTTTCAAGACTACGGTTCCGAATGTACAAATACTTGCTTATCTTGATGATATAATTATTTGTTCGCCCTCGTTTGCAGATCATCTGAAAGATTTGCATACTAACTTTGAGAAACTGAAAAAGTTTAAACTGCGTGTAAACCTTGCTAAGTGTCGTTTTTGTTGCGCCCAGGTAAACTATCTCGGTCATGTGCTTACAACAGACGGCATCAAAGTCGATCCGGATAAAACTTCTGCAATCATGTTAAGAAAGGAGCGTCGTAATATAAAGGAATTGGTCTCTTTTGTGCAAACATGTTCCTGGTATCGCCGTTTTATCGATCACTATGCAGAAGTTGTAAAACCGCTTACAGACCTCATGAAAAAGAATGTTGAATGGCAATGGCGCGCACCACAAATAGAAGCGTTTAACAAGTTAAAGCAATTGCTTGTCAACCCTCCTGTTTTAAGGCAAGCGGAAGACAATGTTCCCTTCACTAGTAAAACCGATGCGAGCGCTTATGCATTAGGAGTGGTCTACTCCAGGAGGAGAAAGAAAACGAACACCCCATAGAGTATGCTAGTCGTTTGCTAACATCAGCTGAAAGGAATTATTCCACGACAGAACGCGAAGCTCTTGCTATTGTGTGGGCATGTGCAAAATTTAGGGGGTACATAGAAGGTGCTGATATTCGCTTAAAAACCGACCACCAACCATTGAAATGGCTGTTGAGCATGAAAACACCAACCGGTCGCCTTGCTAGATGGGCGTTACAGATACAACCATACAATTTTCAGATAGACTACACTCCAGGGAAAAGCAATTCCTTAGCTGGCATGCTATCGAGACCGCCGTGTGTT